AAAAGTAAGATAGGAGTACTGTTTGAGATGTATTGTTTATTGTACACCACAAAATACTCGAAATCAGAAGAAATATAACAACTTGGAATGGCGCAATTTAGACAAAAGATCATAATTAATTTCCTTTTTAATACAAAACGAACAAAACACGCTCGGGCAATCAAAGGCTACCTGTTTAATAAAGTTAAAATGAGATATCTAAATAATCAGTTCGTACCTATGCCTGTTTAAAATAGACTAATGTGTTTCAAAGGTAATAATTACTTAGGTTCAACATTCATCAAAATCAGAGGGTAAAGTTTCCCATTGGAGCCCGGCGGAGTGCACTGGGCTGTGCGGAGTGGCGGTGTCCAATCAGGGCCCTATTCATTGTCCCGCGCGGACACGCTGTTATCTATTCATTAAGCCGGCTCGGGACTACACTTCGGACCAATGTATTGGCTCACTTACAATACTGTAAGGCCGTTAAGTGATTGTGAATGTTGGTGTCAAGAATAAAAGATGATTTTCATGCGAGTTAGACTTCATTTTTTTCATTCATCACTATTTAAGGCTTTAGCTACACAATGTGCTTTTATTAACTGGAGGAAAGCTGCAATCGTCTTCCTGTCTTAAAATAATATTCGGTAAAATATTAATATGTAACCATAGCTTTTGTTATATCGACAAGAATAAGGTTTATATTGTGTCCCGAATTCCTTGCTCGCCTCGTATACTTAATTATTTCCCTTCATAAAAGACTTTCGCAGCGCCCATCGCCGACATGCCGCCTCAGCCGAAGCGATGCTCCCTAATCCTTTCAAGCAGCCTTCAGCTTTATTCCTTTGTCCTAAAATATCCCTTCAAAAGTGACTCCGAAATTATCCCGCGTACTTGTGCTAAGAATACTCGTAGTTACGAGTTGTCAGTTGGCCGCTAGTTTATCGCGTATTTTTAGATGCTTTAACATGATTAATTAATTAAACTCAAGATTACAGTTATGATGGGGAGGGTTTAACATTCAGATGGTAAGTATAATTGAATCGTATGCGTAATACGATCGACGCGATTAAGACTCTCCCACCTGTAGAGTGCGCCCTATGTAACCAAAATTAAACATGATTAGGAGCGCTCGTATAAACAACATACAATTTGCCGTCCAAAATTCCCTTCAGCACGTCCTTTTCGTTTACACGAAAAGTTTTTGATTACACGCTGCTTTGTCAGAAGTTCGAGCTACATTTTGTAGCCGCAGACGACTTGCAAATTTTTTCTAGTAGGATGTGGTGATGCGATGTGGGGACCGGTTTTGTCATCCAAGTTGTTATCATACTAATGTTCTTATCGGTCTGCCAAATTCTATTTTTGTATCACTGTTTATGCAGATATTAACTCGTCTTTCGTAGTTTGTGAATTTGCATTAGATGTCTTTGAAGCTCGTTTTTCGACAAAATTATATTGAAAACTAGTCAGCTGTACGAGTATCATCTTAATGCAGAGCTTGAGCTACTAAATGTACGAGTGAGTATGTTAAGTTGATGTAATTTCGGCTCTACATGTATTCCGATCCCGATCCTCTCGTTCAGAGTAACGATGCTCTGGGACATAAGAGTCGCGGCAAGAAAAGTGGCTGCATATTAGATAGAGTTGCTGACCTGTGGACGGGGTACATCAGCGAGCGCGGTCGCGGCCGGGCCAGATAAATCTTTGTTCCGCGCCGGGGCCGGGACGCCGCGCCGCGTCCCGCCATTACACAGCGAATCTAAATTGCCTGTTTCACGGATTGCCAATCATTTACATTTACATAACGTTTACACGATGATTGTTGAACTAATCGACTGTGCTGTGCGAATACATCGTACAAGAAATATGTGGTGGGTTCTACGAGTACCTATACCGAAAATCGACTCATTGTATTTTATTTATTTAATTTTATTTTTCGATTCACATATAAATTGATTTTAAAATGCTAAACTCTACTCTTTCTTGCTATATGGTTGTTACTTGCCTCAGTAGGTACTAGTCAATTTAACTTCCCAGATACCTACCTAGAAAGTAAATGAGTCTAGTGCCCGTTTTCACCATCAATCCCTAATTTTTAAGTGACCCTTATTGTAACAAAATTCCTGTTATAATGTTACCATAGGGGTCACTTAAAAGTTAGGGATTGATGGTGAAAACGGGCATAGGACAAACTTTTACTAACCGCTTGCAGTTATTTTAACGATTTCGAAGGGGCGGTCAGTGGTCATGCCTTTCGTAAGGTTAATTCAAAATCACTTTAGGTGAAGTGGTATTACTGCGTTACTTCTCTGCCGTGTTGCCGATGGTTCCGTCTCTGGCGGATGTACAGGGAACCGTAAAACACATCGTTAATTTTTATTGAAGCTGACAAAAATCAACGACCCCGCTAAACAGATTGCGTGGTCCATTGAGATACTTGAGTGGGTACGAGTACACTCCAATTCATGTCAATATTAATATTAATGACATTTTAATTATACAATTTGCTTCTATATTCAATGTTATTTCGTGGTATTGTCGTTTGTCACCTGCTTTTGGAATCATATTAGGTTCGTGATTCGTAATTGTTATTTCATGCCTTTTTTTAAAGATTCTATTCTTATTGTATGAGCACAATTCCCCAGAACAGAACTACCCTTAGTTCATTACAAAACACAACATGAATAGTAGCATTAATTCAATGAATAATATAGTCGTGGATACCATCGGACCTGCAAATGAAATATCTATTTTCACTGTGGCGCAATAGTCCCGCCGCCATCGCGCCAGACCGCACATTTATTGTGTTACCATATTCGATTCCCAGCGATTACGCACAATATCGCCGGCTAGAACAAACAGATGCCGGGAACTATGGTGACGCTCAATGGGCGGATCGTCGATAGTATAATGTAACTAACAGACACACAGGGTGTTCCAGGAAGGAGGGGGCCATTAGGAATGAGATGCCGAGATTGGACCCAATATTTCTTAGCTGACGAGGGAGAAGTAATGAATTAAGAATACCTATATCAATCTCAATCCAGGAGCGTCATAGAAGTTAGCAATAGTGGTGGTGGGTACTACAAATCAGGTCTCGTAGATAGCAAGCCAACTACGTTAGCATTTTGGGCTGGTGTCAGAGAGGCAATTAAGCAAAATACGTTGCAGTATGAATGTCACGCAATTTAGCAATTTGGAAAAATACAACGCCATTTGGTGACAAATCAAATAAAACAAGTTAAATTATGAATGTTTGTGAAACTGCGGGTAAACGTAGGCGGTTTCCAAATATTGCTAAAATACGAAAAATACGGGCTCCGATAAAACGGTCATAAACATCGATTTTCTAATTTACGAGTGGCCACAATGGGAATCTTTAAATACAGTAGGTCCGTAATATAGTCATGATTTTATTGATTGACAGCATTTCTTTTTATATGTAGTTTTTATGTAAATTACAAGTTGGAAAGGATGAAAATCCCTTGACCTTGCATTGTTGCTGGAAAAATGAAAAAAATAAATTCTTAGCAAATCTTGCGCCCTTGATGAAGCCGCTGTGAAAGAAGGAGTAAAATATGATCACTAGTTCTTCTGTTACGATGATTGTAAGATCTCCGGTGTCAGAATTTGAGATCAAGCATCGTAGAGCGTCTGAAATGATCTGCAAGGCACGTGGAGCGTCCCTTCTGTTCCCTCAGTATGGCCCCGCGTGGTCGCGGCTGGCATCGGCCCAGCGCAGCGTAGTACGTTACAGCCCATTCTTAGTTCAACGCATTTTTATGCGCCTGCTATTTCAGTGCAGGCCCTATTATACAGTGACTCGGGCCAGCTCGTAAATAATTTTGCGTTTTCATTGCATTGCAAACCTTTCCACAAACATTGAGGGTAATAAGTCAGGGCCGTTCTAGAAAACGTTTTTAAGTTAAGTATCATTGAAATGTTATGCATAATTATTTTTTGAGATCATTTTCGTTTCAAACTACCGTATACTTTCCTGTTATAAGTAAAACATAGCTGGCATGAATTATAACGAACAAAAAGCAGGTATACCAAACGTTAATTCAATTAATTAATACGAGTATCTTTAACAAAGTTAGAAATGAAATTATCTGCCAGAAATACAAGTGGGTAGATAACGCTTAGGCTTACGACAATGTTTATCTGAAGTATTTCCTTACAGTTTAAATTGAAACTGCAGATATGGGCTTTATTAATAAAATAGTTTGAAAAATTGTTCCCTGGCGGTATCATTTCTGGAATGTAAAGCTGAAACTATAAAATTGTATTACATACTGAGAATGATACACGTTTCTATTGGGATTCGAATAAACGCACTGAACAAGAAAAAAAGAACATTGACGTGTACAATTAAAAAACTAATGCTGTTGTAAATATTCATAATTTAATCTAACTGTACGGTTAACTAAACCATGCGAAATGTAACATATTCAAGAATTAGACCGGTCTTATTCGCCAAAGAAGCCATTAATTTATACATAAAACATGTTCACCAAAAAAAACCAGATCGAGCTGTTCTGATGACCTGCTTAAAATATTCGCGGTGTCTAATTGAGTAGGTAATTACTTAACACATTTGAAAATCAATGATTGATTTCGAGTGTCGGCAGCCTAGAAAAAAACTATTTAAATCGCGGGATTAAACAAAAAGTTAGATAACAAAATAGTTTCAATCAAGTTAAACTTCCATGAACATCAAGTTTCTTCTATAGAACTTTTTTATTTTGTAACTAGCTTCCCACCCGCGGCTTCGACCAGTGTTTTCCCGGAAATGATTCGAATTTTTCTCGCCGTGAAAACCATCCTTGGACTTCAATGAACAATAAAAAAAAAGACTTTTTAAAATTGGTCCAGACTTGAGTTATGCTCTTACCAACACATTTTGCGATCCATTTTTATATTAGAAATTATACTTATTTTACATAATTTCTTGTAGTTAGATACATTTGAGCGATGCATTTCATCTCAGTATCTCTCGCGGGCGCGCGGCTTCGCGCCAGAACGGCCCAGCGCGCCATTCGCCTCGCTCGCCCGCCGCGCCCGGCCGTCCTCGACCGTCGCCGCTCCGCCGCGGGACGCGCAGTGACAGTGCAGTGCGTGTGTGACAGTGAACACGATTGTGAAGTGCACCCAACACGTTATTGTAAGTTGTGTGAGATTTTTCCGGAGTTTTCACGAGTTTGTCAAGTGTAAGAAAGTTGGTCAAACTTTTTTTATTTCGTAAGGCGGACGAAACTGATCGTGAGTTGTTATTTTTTTAATTGGCTAGGTTAAAACTTTTTTGAAAGTACAAAATGCGAAACTAAAAGTATATTTTACTGCACACTTTATATGGCTTAAAACAAGAAATAATAACTTTAAAATTTTCGGGAAAGTCAGTTTATCTTAAAAGGTTTTTTAAAGTGAGAAATTCGAAGGAAGTCGTTAAAAATATTTGACGGAAAAATAAGTGGTTATGCATTCTTCCATATTAGAAATATTTTCAGAACTATTTTCCACAAATTGCAGGATTAAGTGCCATTTCAAGTTTCTGAAAGACACTTTCATGAAATATCCGCAATCTCAAAAATGCTAAAACTGATGAAAGTTACATAAGAATGATTCATCTTCTCAACAAAGTTCCAATCCACTTATATTTTTAAGACCTTCAAGTTCCTTAACACTGAAATTTTATTTTTAATGTCGAAAAATTGAAAGAATGTCTTTAGATTGCGAAAACTTTATTAGACTCGGTAAAACTTAACCTTCTTTGAAAATTGTTGGCGTCGCTTCAGTTTCCCGAACTCAATTATGTGTAATGAAAAATATTTAGGTTTTATTCGAGCAATTTATTTATATTGCTAGTATAAGAATTTGTATCGCTTGGGGCCATTTTGTAAACTCGGACCCTTCAACTTATTCATTTTGCCAAAAGGGCGCAAAATAGACAATGTTGTCGATATCGAAAGGTTTCAAAGTTATTGCTCAGTTTGGAGTAATTACTTAGGCACTGGAGGTGGGTACATAAGCAAACAAAGCCTGCTCGGCTACCAAATGATCTGCTTTATTTGAAAGCTTTGATTTGGTTTTAAATCAAAATACCTAACATATTGTCCTAATATACTCAACTTTAGGATGATAGGAATTAACTTGCTAAATATTTTTCCTGCGATAAAGCACTCGCACTGTTTTCTATTGACATTAATTAAACTACAAATAGCATGTTCCAATCTATTGGTGACAGGATGAAAGTGATAAGTTAAATGTACCATAATTCATGTTACAAACTTGCTAGGGCTCTACAATAAACATGCACTTAGGTGTAGGTATAATGTTACCGGTGGGCCCATTGGCTTCAGATGAAGACTCGCAACACGGTGGCTTCGTTGTTCTTTACCCTAATTATGTTCGACCTGACAAATATGGAAATTACTAAAACAAACGTGACATGTTTGGTTTAATGTCTATTCTAAACACCAATTGTCCCAAATACGGGCGATAATAAAAACAGCATTATCAAGATTTCGTTACTACGCCGCTCGCGAGAAACGGCCCGCGGGTGCACTGTATAGAGTGACTGGTCTAGACTCTAGGCGGTCATACATCAACCGCTTGTTGTTGCACTGGGGAACGATAACTGAAGTAGGTACTTAAAGTTTAAGATCAAGGTTTCAGTTGCACAGCACCAGGTGGCTTCCTCGGATACAATACCGTTATCGCTTTGTGCAAGATGGCCCGTGGGTGCGCTCGCGCAAGGAAGTGGCTTCACTGCACGCGCTATGGCAACATTATGACCAAAAGCGGTGGAAAGCCAATACAGCCAAAACGTTCATCAATTTATTTACCTACCAATCTTAGAAGCAGGTTGTGATACTATTAAAAGTTTAACCTATCTTGTTTTTCTGTGGTTTATCGAAAATCTTATTAAAATTTAAATTAGACTCACTTCCAAACATGTTCTGGGAAATTCATTTACAAAGTGATAAAGTCGTGTTTATAACGAAATCGTTTCAGTGACGACACTGTAAAGCATTTTTGTCATATACACTAATATTATAAAGAGGAAAACTTTGTTTGTTTGTTTGGTTGTAATGAATAGGCTCAAAAACTACTGGACCGTTTTTAAAAATTCTTTCACCATTCGTAAGCTGCATTATCCACAAGTAACATAGGCTTAATTTTATTTTGGAAAAAAATAGGGTTCCGTAAAATATGTAGATAATGTAGACCACGCGCGCGAAGCCGCGGGCGGAAAGCTAGTCTTTAACATAATGCTCGTTTATGTCTCACCCACGCTACGACAAGCCTTTGGCTACTTACTAACAGGTACATATTCTGTGTCTCCTGCCTCTACTCATTTAGTAACTGCTCCAGGATAATAATAAGGAATGAAAATCGGTAGTAGCGTAGTTTTTAATAAATGAATAGATCACATTTTAGCAACTACCCGACATGGTGCTCCCTTGCGCGTGTTGTGTCATTACATCACACGTTGTGCATTTTTTTCGCGGCGCACACAAAGGTCTTTAACAACGTCGACAGTGATTAAAACCTACTCGTTGCACGGTCTACGTGCTGCAGAAAACACAATTTCTCTCTATTTAAAACCACTTTATCAATGCTTGTGGCACTGGCAGTCGACCAATTTCAATGCATCAATCTCAGTCCACAGTTCTGATAGCTGTTGTTTTTATTCCGTTATGGATTTTCGACGTAAACTGTTGTTAATCAAATTGGACGCAGTGGGTTCCAGACAGGTTGCATTCTTAGTCTGAACTAAGTATGCTGATGTGTGTCCAGTGCTTATAATATGTATTTTAGGTATATTATGAATACACCCCGGTAAACATCTGTTTTCAGGTAGCTCGAACACAACAGTAACTATGTAGCCTGACGCATACTTATTTATATCATAAAATTTTCATGCAGCTAAAAGGGGAACATGTTTTATGATACTTTCTTGTCCGTGTTTCATTGTGATCTGACACACTGTATCATTTTAGTGTCCAATTTAGTCAAATTAATTTCCTGTCTAAATTAATCTACAAGTACCTACCTACGCGTAGACTGGTCTTTAATCATGAATTTGTCAATTCTACTTATTGTTTGAGTTCTCATAACTTCTCGTCTCCATTCTTTAGTGTTATATTAAGTCGTTTAATTTCGCTTCGCTGTATAAATTAACTAGTTCTTTGACATTGTATAAGACACCGAGCTCCGTTTATTGGGGCGGTGTACGCGGCACGGAGCGGCGCCCATTACGTCGCGTTTGGCGCGATAGGAATATACAGGGCATAAAATATGCGTCAAATCTGTCAACGCGTATTTCACAGTGCCTTTATTTGCTTCCTGAAATTACGGATATAAAAATTGATAGTGTTTGTCGGTTGCTATAATAACCTAGATACGTTCTATGTATTTGTTTATGGACCGATGGTATAGTGCGATACTTTCAACGCATTTTCTTCTTAACTTATCCAAATTGTCCTGCGTCTGGGTGTGCTGGGAGGCACTCAGTCACTTCGTGACGTAAGTGGTTGTGTCTCGGAGCTTTGTTCGTAGGAAGCTGTGATATTATATTACTTACGCACTTAGTCAGAAGGCCAGTTACGAGCGCCACTTCTGCTAAGTTCCAGACAATTATGTATGAAGTAGTTACGTCAGTTTGCTTTGTTGAAGTTTGGTGCATTAATATGAAATATTGCCAACGGCTTGCCCGAGCTTTAGTACTATGAATATGCATGAACATTATTAACATGAAGGTAGTCTTGTCTAGGACGACGTTTTCAGCTGTGATACAATTTTCCCATTACTTGGATAACGATTGGAAGCAGGTTGTATTGTAGTAGCATACAAATTGGATCTATGTAGGTGTCGGTGGAATACTACAGTAAGACAAGGATGATACGATATCAATAAGTAGATATGTAATTTTTTTTATTAGTAATTTTATAGGTAAATTGATATGTGTTGGCGATCGTATCATGTATTCTTTTGTCTCAGAGGTGTCAGGTTGGATTCTCATTTAGGATGGATAAAGTAGTGAAATAATTGACTTTATTTCAGTTAAAGTTGTATGTATGGATCAATCTGACATTCCGATAAGAAATATGGACCGTTACGTTTACCGATCGCGGCACAACCGCCTGTGGCGGCTCATAAATCCTGCAATATTAGGGGTATTACGGCCCACACCATGCTTGAAGTGGATTGATATCAACATTATGATACGATGCACTTAAGTGCCCGCTTTTTCACTTTACCGGTGAATTTGTGGTCTTGACGGCGACTGCTCGGAGCAACTGGAACTAGTAGCAGAAATGTAGAGCGAGTTCCGACCGCAGTGTTCATAACTCATCGGTAATTAGTGCGTTCGTTAGGGAAATACATTCGTTATGAGGAAGCTGTGCGATCTCTATCGCCATTGTTCCGCAGAAACAATCGCAAACGAAGTCGGTCACAGGTCACAGCAGAAAACAAGTAAAAAAATTGCATCAGCATATTCAATAGCGTATATTTTTGAAGAAGATTTTTCATTGTATTTAGTTTTTCATATTTTCATTCCTGTATCCTTGTTTCTTCTACCGGTTATCCGATTAATTCTTATTCCATGGGAGATGTACACTTGCAAACATATCTGTCCATCATGTATCTAATTATGTAAAGGCTACATAATTACATATACATTTTTGGTGGCACAGCGGGACGTCAATCTTAGTTCCGAACTCCTATTTTCTTCAAATCGATTTTGTTGTGACTCTAATGAGAGTTTAACTTTCTTCCGGAATTTTTGGCTCCGCAGTTACTCCGGAAATGGGAATGGGAGGTGAAATTATCCCATAATTTGTCACGTCATTTTCAGGAATTTTTCAGATTTATATTATAGCTATGTTATAGCGATTATGTTAGATATTATTTATCTAATCTATCTATGTAGGTATTCTGTAGAAGTGTAGATGATAATGTACCTACTTTCATATTTTAACATTAAACAATCATCTTGACCTCTTAAATAATTTTAGTATGAATTGACGACTTCCACCACGCTTTTCTCCGCAAATTGAATATCAGTATGAAACGAAGCTTATAAGCTTAACGAATTCCCCAATTGCCCCATTATTTGTCGCGCACAGATAAATAACTCAAGATAATGCCAGTATTTTTCCTACTTTTCATTCTACGTTATAGCAGCTTACTTGGAGACAAAAGTAATTAATAATTAATCTTAAATAAAATTTATCATGTAGAGACAATAAGAATTA